GAGGATTTTGAGGAGGCGGAGGAGGATGAGGAGGAGGAAGAACATGATGCGGATTGTGATCAGGATGAGGGGGCGCCAGAGGAAGCAGGGGTTGGAGGCGGATGCGGAGGATCGAAGGAGGAGGAGGAGAAGGAGGAGAAGGAGGAGGAGGAGGAAGAGGAGGAGGAGGAGCAGGAGGGAGGATGTGGATGAGCGAGGATTAGGAGCAGAGGAAGGATCACCGCAGGCATTGCCCTCCGCCCTTCGAGCTCCAAGGAGTGCTGCAAAAGTTGCGGCCACACCGTTGAGACGGGGTTGGCCCGCGATGGCGCCGCTCCGATGAGGACCCGCCCCCCCCAGCTGTCCAGCTGTCGCCGAACGCACGGCGCCGAGGCGAGGTTCCCAGTCTGATTACGCCCCAAATTGGTGCGATTATAGCCCTCGCGAGGGGAAGCGGATCTGTCTGATGCTGGACGTGCATCGTCTGGTTTGGTTCTGCTGTCGAGGTCATCTGCGTTGAAACAGACATTCTGAAGACGCCCCGCCTTCCATCGGTGCAGCCGCTGGACACTCCAAGCTTCAAGCGACACGCCCGTCCCGCCCTGAGGACACGTCGTGTGGCGCGACGTCAGGGGTCGAATGAGGGACGGGGAGTGTTGAGGATGAGAGGGGGGAGGAAGATGAAGAAGATGAGGAGGAGCAGGATGAGCAGGCGATGCACGATGGTTCGGTTCGGAGGCGTCTCGGTGTCTGGACGGGATGGCGTCGCCCGAGGTGGCTTGACGGAGCGGGCACACCGCGCACCAAGTAGGCTGGCTCAGGGAGCCCGCCCTTCGACCTAACCCCAGCACCATCCTTCGCATTTTCCCTCCACCTGCTCCTCACCTGCTCCCAGGCACTTCCAGTGGGGAGCAGGATTTGTCCGCTCCCGCTGCTTTCGACCACAAGGGGTATACTAGCTCTGTCCGCTCCCATCTCCTGCTCCTCAAAAAATATTTCCCAGGCAGTCGGGCAGCTTCCCACTCAATGTGGGAAGAAACCCTTGGGGTAAAACGTGTAGCTGCACGCGCCAACACACAGCGCCCTTGATCAGGACAATTGCCACAGTGCGCCGCTTTAGTTCGTAGCTGGGAGGCGCTGAGCCCGAGTCACCTGTTCGATCTCGCTCCTCACCTCATGCATCCTCTACAAACTGGGCGCCCCACGGATCAACGCACCCGATGACGCGCCGCCGTCTTCTCTGTCGCGCTCCGGTTGGGGACTTGGGAGCCGCCAGCGTCGTCTTACGCCCTGACCTGTTTGAAACATCTGCTTGACAAGGTGATCGTTTTCTTATTCGTTGTTTTGCCGATCGGCGCGGCTGGAGTAGATCTTGGCTGTTTTTGGCGCCTGTTTCGAGCAGGTGGAGCCTCTCCCCCATGGGACGCACTGCTGCAGGCCGTCGCATTAGGCAGAGGTCCGGAGCCAGACTCCCCCCCTTCGTCCCCAATGCCGAAACGCCGAGTAATAAAGCGCTCACAAGTGGCATCCTCCCCCCCCTTCTGCTCCGCCTCCTCCTCCGTCACCTCCTCCTCCTCCTCCTCCTCCTCCTCCTCTTTCTCCCCCTCGTCGTCGTCGTCGTCCTCCTCCTCCTCCTCCCCCTCCTCCTCCACAGTTACTCAATATGAATACTACTCTCCCTCTTCCCCTGATGACGGTTTGAAAGGGGCCGACCCCCCCGCGTATTGTTTTTTACAAAGAGGTTTCCCCGGAGTTGTGTTTTCGCTTGCATTTTTTTGCAAAATGCTGCTCTCGCTGAGGCGCCGCCTCATTTTCGGGCCCCGCTCGTTCCGAATCGTGCTCCCGCTGCAGCGCTGGCCTCATTTCCGTGCTTCCGCTCGTTCCGAAGCGTGCTCCCTCTGCAGCGCTGGCCTCATTTCTGCAGTTCCGCTCGTTTCGACTCGTGCTCCCGCTGCAGCGCTGGCGTCATTTCCCGTGCCATGCCACGGCATGCATTGCAGTGCTAGGTTGATACTACGCTTTGCGGTGCTCTTCTACGCCATGCCATGCCGTGCTCTACAATGCATCGCGTACCCTTTCGGGATCATTGCCCTGCTCGACATCCGACTGTGCGAGTAGAGAGGGGATCTGCGCCATGGTAAGGGATGGGAGGGAGGGGTAGGATGTCAGATATGACGCGAGCGCACCTAGCTTGTCCCCCTCCCCCTCCCCCTCCCCCCTCCCTCCTCCTCCTCCTTCTCCTCCTCCTCCTCCTCTCCTCTCCTCCTCCTCCTCCTTCGCCTCCTCCTCCTTCGTCTCCTCCTCCTCCTCCTCCTCCTCCTCCTCCTCGTCTTTCTCCTCCTCATTCTCCTCCTCTTCCCCCCCCTCCTCCTCCTCCTCCTCCTCCCTCCTCCTCCTCCCCCTCCCTCCTCCTCCTCCTCCTCCTCCTCCTCCTCCTCCTCCTCCTCCTCCGCTCCTCCCTCGCCCCCCGTGCAGGCCGAGGGCCTCGTGGAGGAGCCGATGTCTTCCAGACCCCGGAAGGCAGCGTTTTTTTTTTTGCTGGCCGCCGCCGCCGCGGCCCTCCTCGCCACGAGCTGACGGAGCCCAGACCCAGACATGGTCGCGTCGGAAAAAAAGTCAGGACGCTAAGTTTTTCGCTATCTTCTGCCCCTGGGGGCACTCGCCGGTCCCCGGGAGCGTCACAAAACGATTCAGGATCAACAACGGGCCCCGGGGAAAGGGTCTGCACTTCCGGTGACGACGTATTGAACAAATCAGGACGTCGCATGTCTGGGGAGGGAGTGGTCTTCCTCCTCCTCCTCCTCCTCCTCCTCCTCCTCCTCCTCCTCCTCCTCTCTTCCTGCCCTGCCCTTCTTTTTTTTGACGCTGCGCGAACTCAAGCCAGCTGCCCCTTCTACTCCGCCTCCCTCTCCTCCCCCGTCTCCCCTCTCATTCCTCCTCCTCCGACCTTCCTCCTCCTCTTCCCCCCCTCCCCTCCTCCCCTTCCTCCTCCTCCTCCTCCTCCTCCTCCTCTCCCTCATCCTCCTGATCCTCCTCCGCCTAATTACCCCTCTGCCTCCTCCTCCTCCTCCTCCTCCTCCTCCTCCTCCTCTTCCTCCTCTCTCTCTATTTGCCCTTCATCCTTGTCTCTCGTCTCTTGCATTCTCTGATGTGAAAGACTTTTCGGCGTGTCGGCCTGTGCCGCCGATCTGCGGCGCTCCTGTGTGTTGCAGTGCCGTAATCGTGCTTGACTGTCCTACTTGTTCGTTGGCTGGTTGGAGGGCTAGTTTTCGGGTTGGTTGAGGGTCTGGTATGTTGGCTGGTTGGGTGCTTGTGGGGAGTTCCTCCTCCCACTCCTCCTCCTCCTCCTCCTCCTCCTCCTCCTCCTCCTCCTCCTCCTCCTCGTCGTCCTCTTCCTCCTCCCTCTCGTCCTCCTCCTCCTCGTCGTCCTCCTCCTCCTCCCTCTCGTCCTCCTCCTCCTCCTCCTTCTTACTCGGGGTTCCGTCCTGGCGTTGTGCTCAGGAGTAGATGTAAGGGAATCCCAGCCAGCCCTGGCATTCAGTCGTAGGTAGGACGAATCGGCAGAGGAAGGCACCCTCACTATCGTGCGTCCACCAGGGACCTGAGACTTGCCCTTCCAGAACCGTTGAGCTTGGAAGAGAGGCTGGTGTTGCGTCAGGCGATCTTGTTTGAAGCATCCCCTGGTTCGGCAAGCTGCCCTCTCCGGGCCCCTGGTTTTGCGTCCGAGTGTCTGGTCCTGGAGGCTTTCGGACTCCTTCCCTCGGACTCGGGGAGTGCAGGCACTCGGGGAGACGTCCCGTCGAGGGGTTCAGATATCGATTTCGACCCCGATTCCGACGGGAGTGAGTTGTTTTAGTCTTTGCGCCCACGCGATCCACAACAACAACAACAGCCTCCTCCTCCTCCTCCTACTCCTCCTCTCTTCGCCCTTCATTATCCTCCTGCTTTGTCTCCTTACTCTTCGGTCCTCTTCGTCTCACTGCCTCGTGCGTTTGCTACATCATGTTCATCTTGAAAGGGCTCATCATACATGTCGTTTCCTCGTACCATCTCTTCTCGCCAACTCCATTCTCTTCTGATGCCCACTCCTGAATTATCCTACGGGTTCTTCAATGTCCGCATCGTCCCTTGTTCTGTGACACCATAACGCCTCTTATGCTATAGTTTCAGTTGCTTGCGGCAAATACCGCCACCGTGTCAGCCCACCATTCTGGGTGGCGACTGTCCGAGGGGTGTGCAGGAGGTCGTCACATGTGACACCCCTCGTATTCCCGAGCTTGGGAGCGCTTTGAGAAGGATGACGAGGATCGACGCGGTTGAAGATAATAATGACGAGCAGGATGAGGATGAGGATGATGATGAAGAGGAGGAGGAGAAGGAGGAGGAGGAAGAGGAGGAGGAGGTGCAGGAAGAGGACGGTGGTTACATGTGGCGCCTTCGGCTTCACTTCCTGAGTAGCTCTCATGGAGCTCATTTGGGCCGTGTTGGGACTGTTTTGGGCCCCTGTGGGGCAGATTTGCGCGTCCCACGGGGCCGTCTTGGGGCCCTCTTGGGCCGTCTTGGGGCCCTCTCAGACCGTCGTGAGGCTTTCTTGGGACCGTGTGGGGGGTGGGGTGTCTTGGGGCCGTCGCGGGGTCGGCTTGGTGCCGTCTTGGGCCGTCGAAGAGCCGTCTAAGTCCGCCTTGGGTCTCTCCAGAAGCTTTCTTGGGCCGTCTTGGGGCTGCCTTAGTGGCCTCTTGGGCCATCGTGGGGTCCTCTTGGGCCGTCTTGGGACGCTCTCGTAGGCTTCTCCTGTCATTTTGGAGGCACGCTTGGGCTTCTTGGCGGCCCGCCTGAGCTGTACTGGACGCTCGGGAGCGCTGACCCATCTATTTTCCAAGGGGTCGTGGCCTTGGGAACGCGGGCTACTTTTTACGAGGGATCGTGGTTTCGGGATGGGGGGGTGGGGTGGGTTGGGGAGGGGCAGGGGGCGACGCATGTAAAGAAGCGTGATGCGTGGGGGGCGAGAGGTCCATCTAGAATCATTCAGAAACCCAACCAGGGAGCCTCTGTCGGTCTATCACGCCTGACTGTGCCAGGGGTCACGGTGACGGACATAAGATGCCCTTCTTCCCCTCGCTCATTGGCACCGGTTCCCTTCTCTTTTCCTTTCCAGTCTCTCCTCGTACCTTCTCGTCAGTTGTCGTCGCTTCTCTCGTCCCGCTTCCCCCCCCATCCTCCTCGTCGCCTGTTCATCTCGTCCTTCGTGCCCCGCGCCCTCCCCCCTCCCCGCTCCATCTCCGATCTCCGTTTCTCCCGCCTCCTCCTTCTCCTCCTCCTCCCTCCTGCCCCTCCCTCCTGCCCCTCTTCCTTCGTCCCTCCTAGATCCTCATCCTCCTGGTCTTCCTTCTTGTCGTCGTCGTGGTCGTCATGCTCCTTCTTCTTGGCCTGGTGTGCAAGGCGGCGAGGAAGGGGGAGGGGGAGGGGGAGGGGGAGGGTTGTGTGAGGCAGAGGGGAGGGGAGAGGGAGGGATGAGGTGGGGAAGAAAGCTTACGGAAGAGGGAGAGGCGAATATTGATGATGAGCCAGACGACGAGAAGGATGATGAGGAGGAGGTGAGGGATGAGGAAGAGGTGGATGATGATGACGATGATGATCTGGTTGATGATTGTGATGATGATGATGTTGATGTTGTTGATGGTGGTGCTGATGCTGCAAATGGTGATGACGATGATGACGATGATAGTAGACAACATAATTAGGGTGACGGCGGTGATGACGATGCGGATGACTATGTTGATGCTGCTGCTGATGATGCTGCTGATGATGATGGGGCTGTTGATGATGATGATGACAATACTTATGACGATGATGAGGATGCTGCTGATGATGATGGTAATGATGATGCTGCTGCTGATGATGACGACGTATGATGACTATGATGGTGATGTTAAGGCCCACCAATGGGAGCATGGAGCAGGAGGATGGCGAAAAGGATTAGGGTCACGGTGGTATGTTGATGCTGAGGATGGTGTTGCTACTGCGGATGATGATGATGATGCTGATGATGATTATGATAATGATGATTATGATGATGATGATGATGATAATGATGATGATGATGATGATGATGATGATGATGATGATGATGATAATGATGCTCATGACGCGTGACGGCGACGATGATGAGGATGCTGATGTCGCTGATGATGATGCTGGTGCCGATGACGCTGCTTCTGATGATTATGAGGCTGATGGTATCGATGCCGACGATGATGGCGATGCTGATGAGGATGATGACGATGATGATGATGATGGTACTGCTAATGACTAATGATACTGATGATGATGACGATGCGGATGAGGATAATGACAATGATGTTGATGATGCAGATGGTGATGTTGGTCGTGGCGGTGATTCTGATCAGGGTTACTCCCACTCTGAATATGAGGGTATAGATATATGTATATATATGATATATGTATATTTTTTTCTGTGGCGGGGTTGGTGGCTCTGGCGGGGGCACCGAAACTGAGATGGATGGGAAGGACTCGATGGGCGAACACAATGCGGGCAATGAGAGGTACGTGATGCGAATGCGGATGGCGCGAATGGGTATGGTGCGGAGTATGCTGCTGATGGTGATGGTAATGATGATGATGGTGATGGTTGTGATGGTGATGGCCATCGTGATGGTGAGGATAATGGCGATGATGCTGATGCTGCTGGTGATGCTGTTGATGATGATGGTTATTCTGCTGCTGATGATGATGGTGATGATGATTCCGATGATGATGACGCTGTTGAAGATTATGATGCTGACGATGATGGCGATGATGACTATGATGATGCTGCTGATGATGCCAGTGATGATGATGCTAGTCATTGTGATGGTGGTTGCGATGATGACGATGGTGTTATGCTCATGATGATGCTGGAAGTCTGAGTATGACTATGTTGATGAGGAGGATGAGGATGCAGACGAGGATGATGATGCGGATGATGATGTTGCTGGTGATGATGATGATGTTGACGATGGCGATGACGCTGCTGTCGGTGTTTATGATCATTATGATTTTGCTGGCGACGATTCTGATGATGACGATTATGCTTGTGATTATGATGACGCTGTGGGTAATCACGTTGATGATGCTGCTGCTGATGCTGATGACGATGATGCTGATTATGATGATGCTGACGGTGATGATGATGCTGATGATGATGATGATGGTGATGATGCTGACGGTGACTTTGATGGTGATGCTGATGATGTTGCACGTCGTTGTGATGATGACGATGCTGTCATACTGGTGATGATGCTGACTATGCTGTTGCTTGCGATGATGCTGATGACGATGATGATGCTGATGATGATGAGGATGATGCTGCTGCTGATGATGATGATGATGCTGACGCTGACGATGATACTGATGAGGGTGATTATGCTGATACTGATGCTGCTGATGATGAGGGTGATGATTATGATCACGATGACGATGATGATATGATTATGGTGACGCTGAGGATGATTACGTTGATGA